CAATAATTCAGAAGCAGATGGAAGGCATTATCCAACAACTGGAAATTCTTTCTCTCTAACAATAATATAAGTTCTGAATTCTAGAGAGAGAAAGTTCTTTTGTTTCTTGTCCTTTATGTTGCAATTTTTTTTCTAAACACTCCATCAAGATTGTCAATGGGTGATTGAGAAATCAGAAATGCTCTGAGCTTTGGAGCATTTCTCTTGTGGGTAAGCCTCGCTGTTTTTCTCGACAAGTCTGGTTTTTTCTTTATGTTTTTTTTTTTTTTTTTTTAATTGTATGGAGGAGGGAGCAATCTAATTGAGTGTTAGAGAAAAAATTTTCTTTTAATTTATTTTGTTTTATGGGTAGGTGTACATTGCTTTAATTTTACCAACCGTAGGCGGTTTCTCATTTGTGCATTTAACTTTATGCTACGTGGCTGTATAATGTGGTGGGTGGTAGAGCGAGTGGTTAAAAGGGCCATTCATCTTGTTTCTGTTTGAGCATTTAATTTTTGTGCCACGTGGCTGCATAACGTGGAGGGTGGTAGAGCGACGGGTGAAAGGACGACTGCCCTTTGCATTTCTCTTGTAGGGGCGTTGACTATTTCGGATTTTAATATTTTTAAATTAATTTAATTTAATTAATTAGTAAAATTTTTAAATTAAATTAATTTATTATTATATGATAATTAATTTAATTTAATTTAAATCAAATTATGTAGTTTAATTGGATTAATTGATTTTTAATATTATTAAATATATAAATAATATAAAAAATATAAAAATAAAAGTATAAATAAAGATTTTAACTTTACATTTTTTTTCTATTTAAAAATGTTAACTTTGTCAATTTTTAAATAAAAGTATCAATTTTTAACTTTTTCTATTTAAGAATTAATGGTGATGTTGATATCGGCTAACATATTTTTTTAGGTTAAATATTTAAATTGATCCCTCAACTTTTATTTTTGAACTAATTCATCCTTAAACTTCAGAAAGCACCAAAAATGTTCTTCAACTTCAATTTTCAATTTCATCTTTTCGTCAATTAAATGTTGATGTAGTTAATTTTTTTGTTAAGTAATTGACTATTTTACATTTTCAATATTAGGTAGAAAATCCATCATGTAAAAAATGATTATGTAGATTTTTTTAATTTTAAATAATTTAAAAACTACTTTAATT